CATGAGAGCAAAGTGTCACTACAGGAGGCACTGGTTGAGGCCAATAAACAAGGTATATAGGATACTACACACACACACACACACACTTTAACTGTACTAACTGATTACTATTACATGTATGTACTATTGTGTGGTTATTGGTAGTGTGAGTGTATGTATTAGTACTGGTTTACATTATGATACTAGTGGATTAGACAATGTCAAGTATGGAAATAGTATTCTGTACTCAATATAGGTCAAATTGTGGATGCATTAGAAATAATGAGATTCATGTAGAGTGAGCTCTGCTTACCATATATGGTATGATTAGCAATAATCATAGTACATGTATTTATGGGCTACTGTACATGCAGTGCAAATTTGTATAAGCAACATTTATCATTTTTGTTTTCTATCTTATATTATTATTGATAATGGAAGATTATGAGAAACTTAAAGCTAAAGTTGCCGATAATGAAGTATATATAACTGAAATTTTGGAAGAGAAGAGACAAGTAGAGGAGAAGAAAGAGATTATTACTGGTTAGTGTATCATCAGTACATAATATTAGATGAGAGAATATTCTATTAATGTATAGAGGATAATAAGAAACTGAAACTCAAAGTAGCTGATATGGAGGAACAATATCTCAAGGAGAAACAGATCATTATTGGTTAGTTAACTATGCACACAGCTTGTATTAGATGAGAGAATATGTTTATTGTGTAGACGACAATCAAAATCTTATTTTGGAGAAAGACAAAGTTATAGCCAAACTGACATCACAAGTAGAGGAACAATCACAGAATGAGAAACAGATCATTACTGGTTAGTGTATCACCATCAATCAATAATAATTATTAATATTCTATTAATTTATAGACCTTAAAGAAAAGGACTTGCACATAGCCAAACTAGTGAAGGAAAAACAAGAGAGAAGCAAAGAGACTAGTTCCATTGGACTACAATTTAATTACCTGATCCCTTCAATGGGTAAGAGTATTATTGTGTGTCTGACTGAGTGTATACAATTGTGTGTGTACTCACTGTATATATTTTGTATAATTGACAGATAAATTGGATTTTCTGAGTGATGTCCAGGTAGCAGAGAGGAAGCTGTTCTTAATTCAAGGAGACAAACCTCAACTGATGAATTGGGAGAAATATGGTCTAAGGATTGGAGTACAAAAGGAGAGCTTACTGTCCTCTGAGACAGTAGAAGCAGCAGTGGTTGCTCTTGTAGGAGGAGAGTTCGAGTTTCCTCCTAATACTGTCCTAGTGAGTGCTGTGTATGCAGTATCACTCTCAAAGCCTCTCCTCAAACGGCTCATATTAGAAATACAGCACTGCGTTGATTTAACAGGACGACCAGGTCTTAGTCGTCATCTCAAGTTTGCTATAGCTCCTGTGAGCACACCCAGTCTTCCTTACCAGTTTTCACTAGTTGATGGAGGAGAGTTTAAAGCTGATAGTTGGTATGGATCCATTCAACGTAAAGAGTTCTGTTTGGTATCTATTGTTGGGGAGAAACGTCTACCCAAATCATCAACTAATGGAGATGAGTCAGAGGAAGAGGAGGAGGAGGAGCAAGAGGAAGAAGCAGAAGAGGAAACTGAGGAGGAAGCGGAAGATGGTAATAGTGATTCATCCAGTGATTCTGATAAGACTAAAGATCCACCAGGAGGTAGGAGTGGAGGACAAAGTCAGTATTTATTTGGTCAATCTGTATAATCTATACCGAATCTAATTTATATCTGCATGAGTATAGTATTAGAAATTGTGACGGATGAGAGACTTGAGATTAGCATTGATCCAGTTAATGATGGACTAGTGAATGTAGCAGAAAATGAGGAAGTTGAAGAGCAAATGATTCATCAACAATCACAGTCTCTGGCATCTAGTAATCAAAATTGCAATCGTGGGAAATTTTCTCCATTTATTACTTTAGCTGCAGCAGAATCTACTGGTGTTGAAGAGGCTATGACATATGCTGGACTGGTTTATTATGAGGAGAAAAGAGCTGAAGATTTGGTGACATTTGCTGTTGTTAAAGATCTCAATGCACTTCTTGAGGTAACTCTGCTTATATTTATTCTGTAATTATAGTGACTTTGTTTGTAGTTTATTAAGAAAGACTGTCCTCATGCTGAAAGAGGACAAAATATTCTATTTCGTTTCAAAGATTATAATGGATATATTGAATTAAAGTTTGATGCTCCTCAAAAGAAACCATTCACTGGTTGGTGTATTGAGCCTCACATGGATTCATGCAAAGTAAGAAGGAATGAGCTCCATAATATGTACTGGCATTATGTATATTAATAGTTTCTACGTTGTGATGTTGATAAGTTTGGTGAAGCTAATTATCCTCTTCCTTCCACTTGTCTGGTATCAGTATATGGATCAGATGATGCTGTTCCTACACTACATTACTCTGTACCACTAGATGGAGTAGCTGATCCTAAGACATTATTCATTCACCGATCACTGAGAACCCTGGGTTTGTCCCTACCAGGTAATATGAATGAATTACATAGACTCAAGTGTGATAACATTTATAGCAATTCCTGTAAATCCAAGGCCCCTACCAGTGCTGAGAAAAAGAGAACAAGGTAAATCATTTATATGGTATATTGTGACAAAACTTAGTAAATTATAACTTTATAGGCCTTGATTTAGTTTCTATTAAAAAACGAGTACAGCAAGTTCTTACAAAACATCAAGCTGTTTTGAGTGAAGCTTTTAGTCTTTCTTTGTCCAGCATATTCAATGAAATGGCTGGAGTAGGTATTGTCAGTAATGACTCTGAAAAATCCTATGAAGCAATAATTAAGAGCTTTAAAGTGGGAATGAGTTTCATGAAAAGTTCATCTGATCTGGAGTCATACTGTGTGAAGTTTCTCAATGGATTATCTAAAGTTGGTGGGCCAGTGGCTCTAGCAGCTGAAACAATATGTGATGAATGGACTGAGGCAAGTGAAGGAGAACTATTGTTTGATTGCTTAGCAAAAAGAACCAAAAATACTTAATTTAATAATTATTCTCGAAATTTGCATATTAAAAAATAAAAATTTTAATTTAGCACCTACTATAACTCAGTGCCCCTACCACCAAGGCTACAAAATGTTGCAAAAGCAAATGGACGGGAGACAACTTTATGAACTGAAAAGCTGAGCTTTACTAGCAATGTGGGAATAACACTTGTAATCAAATTAATTCATATACTAAGAGTAGATCAACTGTTGAGTATAAGTTCCCATACAGAAGTTTAGATGATGGGTTAGGTTGGGACAATGCAACAACCTCAATATGAATGAATGATGAACTGTGTCTGGCTATGTTAAGTTAAAAAATTTAAATAAAGATAAAA